AAACTGAGCGCGTGAGAAGCGTAGTAGTGAGCAAACTGTACCACTTGAGTAAAGCAGGTAAAAGGCTGGGGCTTTCATAAGAGACGGAAAAATCGAGCGGGCGCATTACCGCAACCGTCAACCCTGTCCCTGCCCCACTGCTGGTAACTTCAGTGCACTACTAAGCTTCTCATGCGCCCGAAGTCTTTGTGAAAATGACTGATTTAGGGGTCTTTGATGTCGCTCAGCAAGTTTCCAATTGAAACCATTTGTCTGTTCCGACTAATTAAAAAGTAATGAGCGAACTAATTAGTAAGTATCGCGCAGTTTCTCACGTCCGCCACCACGAGTAATGCGGTTCTAAGCAAATTATAATTTTACCTCCAATACAGATATTTTAGGAATTTTTGTCATTCTTACGTGAAACATCCTGTATATAAAAAGTTTTGGTTCAGTGCATTTACTTTTCATTTGTTAATCATGGGGATACTACCGCTTCACTGGCCAGCCACCTTCACAACGTAAATTAAAGCCCAGACTTCTTTTTTTTTTTAAATCCTACTTGTGCGTACAGAGCGCGACACTGTTAGCGCGAACAAGCGATCTCGAAGTAATAAAAAATGAAAGCCGTTTACAACTCCCTGTAACGCCGAATTGGAGCGCAGCTCCTGAGGAGGAGGAGGGAAGGCTACTGGGGGGATCAGTTGACCTCGGAAGGGGGGGGTCACGTCACCTCGGGGGTCACGTGACCCCCCCCCCTAGGTCCTCCCGAAGGAACCCGAGGTCCTCCCGAGGTCCCCCCGAAGGAGCCCGAGGTCCTCCCGAGGTCCTCCCGAAGGAACCCGAGGTCCTTCCGAGGTCCTCCCGAAGGAACCCGAGGTCCTTCCGAGGTCTCTCCGAAGAAACTCGAGGTGCTTCCGAGGTCCTCCCGAAGGTACCCGAGGTCCTGGGGGGGGGGGGGGGTCACGTGACGATGACGTCATCAGTGATGATGACGATGGCGATGCGGATGCGATGAAGTCATTGGCATCCGCATCGCCATTGTCATCGTCACTGATGACGTCATCAGTGACGTCACTGATGACGTCATCGGCATCCGCATCGTCATCGTCATCGTCACTGATGACGTCATCGTCACGTGACCCCCCCCCCCCCTAGGTCCTCCCGAAGGAACCCGAGGTCCTCCCGAAGGAGCCCGAGGTCCTCCCGGGGCCCTCCCGAAGGAACCCGAGGTCCTTCCGAGGTCCTCCCGAAGGAACCCGAGGTCCTCCCGAAGGACCTCGGGTTCCTTCGAAGTTCGGGAGGACCTCGGGAGGACCTCGGGTTCCTTCGGGAAAATTTACCCATAATGCACCGCGCGGTTACGCCGACGGCGACGCCGACGCCGACGCCGACGCCGACGCCGCTCAAGCCGGAAACGGGCGCCTAAGAGCTGCGCTCTAAAAAATAAAAAAATTATTTCTCACAGGCCGTGTTCTAAAATGTACTCGATCTCATGATAGGGTAAAGCTTTTCTACCTTGGCTTTTGAAAACCTACCCACGTCCAGCGTTGCTCTATCTGTTTTGTCACGTGACATAATCCGCCGGAGTAACTCAGATTCATTCAAGTAAGATTCGGAACACGTCCATAGAGCATTATGTATTTGACAGGCTCATGGAAAGTGTGTTCCTTATAAAAAAAAAAAAAAAGACGGGCATTATGAATTTGTATACTACTTTCAATTTATTGAATGGCCTAAATATTTATAAATAATTTCTCGCAATCTTACGTAGATGGTTTTTAATACACACGAATCAAGAAAAGTGAACGAGTAATATATCTCTTCCTTCAAATATTTAGTTTGGTGCAGTCCATTAGCAATGTGACGCAGTTCTTGAGCGAAAGATAATACAGATTGATGCAAGTTACTCTATAGCCACTTCTTATCATTTCATGCGCTGGCGGGCAATCCAGCGTTTCCCAAGTCTCATTAAGTCGTCCGCATCATTAAACAAAGTTTTTTTGTTGCGTGTTTTACCACCTTATTGGCTGAAACACAGCTGTAGCCTGATAATCTCCCCTCCATGGAATTCTAGAAATATTCGTGCAAGTTGTAGGAAGCGGAGCGTCGGGGATTATCAATCGAAGCGGGTAGACGTGCGTGATATTTTTGATGTTTACATAGTCTCCAAGGTACAGATTTGCGAATAACGGGTACCGGAACCTGTTCGTGTGGAGACACTTCATGGCAGTTCACCAATGGACAAGCTAGAACCTGCTGCGCCTGCTTCGTGGGAACCAAATGAACTTCGTGTTCATCATCACGCCTACATCACACCGATCTTTCTTGGTATAATACAAAAGAAAACAACCTGACGGCAGTAACAAAAAAATTAAATCAAAACTATAAACGACTATTATGGGTACAACACTTCATAAAAAGAAAAAAAAAAGCTCTGAGTCACTCAATTTTTTATTCAAGGCACCCAAAATTATGGAAGTGTGTATATTCTTTTTCTTGGCAATTAAAGCTGCAGCTTTTTACGGCTAGATTTGATTAAGGCAAATCCAAAATGCTCTGGCTTTAATGTATACATTAAAGTCGGTGCATCAGTGATGACTGGGACGAATCTGACGTTTTATTTTGTAAATAAATTTTAAACACACTTTTTTTCGCTAATTGTTTGCATTTGGTCAGTGCCTGTTGATTGGTTGCACGCCAATGGCTCGTAGATTCGATTTTGCTCGTCAACGACGGGCTGCGATGACTTTTTTGCCTAGACTCGAGCTTGGGTGTCGACTAAAATTATCAGCGGGCTCCTGTGCTGTGCCAGTCATCTACAATGGCTGTGCGAGTGCGACTCGCGGTCACATTAGGAAGTCTTCGTATAGGTTTCCCCCATCCCATACCCCTTTTCGCAACGAGATTCGAAACTGGGCAGACGGCATTAACTGAGCGCATGGGCAGTAGCGGTGGCCTCTTTAAAGCATAAGGCTTAGCGCAGGGGGGAAGAAGGGTCTACAAAAACTGAATCCTAGGCCTACTAGCATGAGGCGGCGTAAAGGACTGCCTGGGTAAAACGTTCTACTTAAAAAGGAGAACTTAAAAAAAAAAAAAAGAAAAATCAATGCCAACTGCTGACTGACACGCGCGCGCACCAGATGTATGTCGACGCAGAATCATATCTGCGTGTAACATTTTGCCACGACATCGCCTACTCGCGGGATGCTGCGGTGTGGATCATCCATTTTTACACAGAAAACATAAGATTGCACGAGGCATGAGATGGCATGCCGTGCCATATTGTCGGGAATTTATATTTGTTTCGAATTCGTTTTTTCAGTGTTTATTTTTTCTCGTAGAATTGGTAGTTTCCCGTGTCTATTTTAGGCGTAGGGCAAAAAATGAGAACTTATCGGGATTTATGCCGTAAAAAAATCGCAGGGACACGGGCACATGGAATTTTCAAACCTTGAAGAAACATGCGCATGATTACAATACTTCGAAAACGCCCCGATATCCATAAGAGAAGAAAACGAAAAGCTTGTGCCTCTTGAAGAAAGCAACATCCTCGTGCACTTTTCGAGGGGGGTTGTATTCCGAGTCAACACAAATTAAATAGAGCTGTTGACGAAGATTTCTCCCCATGATGCTTTTCTATTTTTTTTTTTTTATTCAACGAGAGCTTCATTTCAAGTTTTTCTTTCCCGAATTTAATCAACCCAGTTCGGGGGTTATTTTTTAGAGTTTATCGGTATTTACCGAGGGGAAAAAAATAAATCGGAACCCTAGGTATAGGTTACAAAACCGATAACTGGTCAATGATTGTGTAAATAAATTAAAATGCACCTTGTTTATAATTAATAATTAGGGGCATCTCAATGCCTAATAACAAGAACAACAAAACACGAGATTAGTGGATCCACACACAAACATTATTACGCACTAGAAATGCTGAACATGTAGGGACGTCTAAGGTAAATTTTCAGAGGTTTCAATTTAGTCAATCTAAATTTAACACGCCTTAAACAGTTGCATTATTCCGAACATTGCCCATTTCTACAGAGAGGGAATGAAGATTTGCTCCAGCTGTTGTTTAATGCAGAAGAAAAACACGGAGAAGAGACGAAGCTCAATAGCACGATTCATTTCACTGGCAAAGGTAAGTAAATTGCAAGAATATTTTAATAGTGTTACCAGTTGACTCCACTGCCCAAGTCTGCTACGCTGACTTATTTAGGTCTAGCAACACTGTTTCGGCTCAAACTCATCAGGTTTATCGATGTTTTACCTCTGTTCAACGATAGCTGTGTGCAGCACTCCTGTGTAATAGAAGCATATTGTCAGGGAAATGCATGTATTATTAAAAGGAAGATGGGGCACTTCTACATTTGAGAAAAAACGCATGAATTGCGTTCATTTGGCCTTCAGAATAACAGATATCAAAATTATATTTCAATGCGACGCGCCGGAGAGCCGCAAGAGCAATTTCAAAATAGGGCTGAAGCCCCGCCCCCCTAGCCTTGGGCAGCCAAAAGAGCCGTCGATGACGTCACGGACAGCTACTGTCTTTCGCGTTTTTCTCGCGTTTAACAATACTTAAGCAGCAAATGGTTTGGGTATTCGGGTTCACGGGGTAAAAATACACTAGAATTCACTTCTAACTCATTTTTTCCAAGAAGCTCCGTAGCTTCCCTTTAAGAAGCTACTTGTTTGACTTCGGCAATTCTTTGTGTTTTGTGCTCGGTTCTGCGGAATCATTTAGACCAGACGCTTTTTCGCGGCATCGTCAAATAAATGTATGACAACGCCATAGAACTATAAAAAAAATATAATAGTTCACTTTTTTGGCACAGTTTAGTACAGTCCAAGTCACAAGAATGAACACTAAAATAAACTTACAGAAAAAAATTAAAACAAAATGTCAAGTGATGATGACTTGGCATAAAACCCTGAAAGACGGCGTTCTTGGCAACCAATTTATTAATTTAAAGTATCATCTTATGCTGAATCGCTGAGCCCGATGACTCAGAATACAAATGACAATCTACACTTGGAAAATGTCTCATTGCAACGGATTGAGACTGCAAATCTTTACAGCGGACAAGTCACCTAGGGGACTGAGGATCACACCGTTTGCAACAGTAGCCAATGCCGAACTCTTCATCATCGCAGGGTAAGATCAAATCACGAAATGATTTTTCAGAACATCTCAATAACTGACAAGATGAGAGGATACGACCCCTAATGAGCGTTTACCGTAGTACTCTGTTTGTCTAGATAGCTGCAGCCAACTAAATGCGTTTTTTGTCCGGTTAATCTTTGTAAGAAAAAGAACCTCCGAAGCCTATAAATAACTTCGTGAAGCACTACTCATAGCATTAAAACAGCGGCTCTGATGTGTCTGTTGAAGCAATTTACCAGGATAAAATCTCTCCTGCGCCATGCTGCAATATTGTACGACATCAGCAGAATCTCCTCAAGACTTTCTTTGAAGTTGTTTTTCAAACAACCAAAATTAAGGCAAGCTAAATCAACGTGACGTTTTCCAGACTCTCAAACTCAGTTAAACAAAATAAATTTCTTATTTAAAAAAGCGCCTCGCAACTTTTTTAAAATTTTTATAATGCAATTAATTGCAAAGGTGCAAGCGAGCTGGACAAGAAATGACGAAAGTAATCCCTGGAGAATTGTGTTTGTCCTCTGTCCCTCTTGTTCCCCTTCTCCAGGGACTATTTTCGTCGTGCTTCGCAACGTTGTTGACAGAGTGGGTTACCAAGCTACCTGTCAAGCTGAGAGACATATATACCCGTTGGCCAAAATTGGCGAACGGATGTTTGCCCCGCCAACAGGTCAAACACAGCGCCGTCGTCACATGACCTATACACCGATTCAGTTTACCGCTAAATGTTTCTGAAAAATTGATGTCACGTGACTTGACGTCATGTCACCTATACAGCAATCTAGCTTGTCCGCTAAATTTAGCGGGAAAACTGACGCCCCATGACGCGACGTGTCACTCAACAAGTTTCTAATTGAAACCATATGTCTATTTTCACCAAATAAAAAGTTAATTAATCATTTTAGTTAATGAGCCAACTAATTACTAAGTATCGCGAATATATAGGGTGTCCAAAGTCACTAGGCTCGATCTAAAATGGACCGTAAAAATCGGCGCCTGCACGTAGCAATGTAAACAGTGCATCGCCGCCCACCATGAGCCTGGCACGTTTCTTGGGCCTATTTATTACGCAAAGAGAGCTACGCTTTGTAATTTTGCAAGAAAAAACCGGTCTTGTACACGTTACTGAAAAAAGTAATCGATTACAATTACTATTACTCTTGGCTAAAAAGTATTCGATTAGATTACTTGATTACTCGACGGCAAAAGTAATTGGACATTACTTAAATAAGTAATCGTTACTTTTCCGATTACTTTAGTGTGTGAAGACACATCTTTAGCGCTCATAACAATGAACTACTTCCAACCTATATTTCACATTTGCCCAAGTATTGAAGAAGAAAAACTGGCTCCCTCTTCGTGGTCGTTGCACCTTCACAATGCGGACACAAGCATAGAATTCGTTTGAAGACGTTTAATGATTTAGGCGTTCGCCAGTGTGTGGGGGGTGGGGGGGAGCGGAGGGGGTTCTAGATCTTGTTAAGCTTGAGACAGGGTTGTCGCTCAAATTTGTTTGCGTCGCTTATTTTATTATTCACATGTGGATGAGCTCGCATGTTATGAAAAGAGCAACAGCTCCAGGATTTGAAACGGATCATGTGCAGTATCCATTAGCGGAAGAGATCGCCCCGACCACTTCTCAACTCGAAACATGGCTTGTCACAAAGACCACGTAGGGGAAATGGGGAAATATTTCAACTGCTTTTGTTATATTTTGTATCCGCTTTAGGCATTCTTCGGTTCTGGTTCTCCTACGGGCTGCGAGTAGGTACCCTAAGCAGGATTTTTTATATATTTTTTTTATTTCTGTGTGTGTGTGCGTGAGGGGGCTAGTTTGAACGAAGGACTCACAAAGCTACATTCTGCTCCCTTAAACTTCGCCCTGAATGGGCTTTGTCACGCACTGTGGCTTCCCTGGGACTTCCCCCTTCCTGTCCCCAGGACGAAAAAAAACAAAAACAAAAACGGACATTCCACAGAAACTGTACATAGAAAGAGATTGACCTCGTTTCCTACAGCTCCGCAAAATCTTTCTTTTTTCCGTTCGAAAAAAAAAGAAGCAAATTTTAATTTTGTCATTTTATAAAAAAAGGCGTGTGCCGGGTGGGGGGGGGGGGGGGGGGCCGTGGCCAAATTGTAACGGTTACAAGTAATTTTATTACTTCAAAAAGTAATTAGATTACTCTTGTGATTACTGCCTAATAAAAGTAATCAACTGATTACAAAATTACTCCAAAAAGTGATCGATTACAAGTAATTTGATTACTTGTAATGCGTACGGTACAAGTCTGGAAAAAGCCGACCAGTAAAATACACCCGTGACGAAACGTTTAGATTGCTACGTGCAGGCGTCGATTTTTACGATCCATTTTAAATCGAGCCTGGTGACTTGGGACATCCCTATATATATAAATACCGAGCGACCCAAGTCACCAGGCTCGATCTAAAATGAACCGTAAGAATCGACGACTGCACGTAGCAATCTGAACTTTTTTTTTCATGTAAAATTACAAAGCGTAGCTCTTTCTTTCTGTAAAAAATATGGCCAAGAAACTTGCCAGGGTCTAGGGCTGGCGGCGACGCAGAGGACCAAGTCCGGTAGCAGGGTGTGTTTGGCGTTCGTAATGATGGATGGCGCTACCGCCTTATCGCGACGGGTCGCGACCACCGTGGTTAATTAAAATGAACATAATCTTTCTGAAATGTACATTGGTTAAAAAATGAATGTGGACAATAAAAGCAAATTCAAGTAAAAAAAAAAAAAAAAGAAATAACGACGGCGCTTTTGCTGTCAACGGATTTCGTCTGCGTGTCGTCTGCTTTCTTTCGCTGGTCGGCTGCACCTTCAGACGCTGCTCCCGACGCCATCTATCAATACGAACGCCAAACACACCCCGCTACTAGACTTGGTCGTCTGCGGCGCCGCCTGCCATAGACCCTGGCCAGTTTCTTGGCCCTATTTCTCACAGAGATAGCTACGCTTTGTAATTTTAGAAGATAAACACGACCTGTGAAATACACCTTTGGCGAAAAGTTTACGTTGCTATTTTCAGGCCTCAATTTTTATGGTCTATTTTTGATAGAGCCTGGTGAGTTGGGTCACCCTATATATATATAATTATATATTGATACCACATGACCTGTATTATAAATTACTGTAAATAGTCGTCTGAACATATTGTAATTAAAACTATCTAAATACTGCATTTCATGCATTATACGTCTTTGAAAGTAAAGGTCGCTGCCAATTTATATTTCCTTCCTTGTCGCCGAATCACTTTAGCTTGAGTGTTGCCAGCAAACTCACCTTTCAACAAAACGTTTGTTTCAGACTTGAGGCGGTCACTTCGGCACTCTCATTCACCGCATACCTTTTGGCAAAACATCAGGACGTCCAAGACAAAGTGAGGGCGGAAGTGAAACTTCTTCTGCAGAAAGATGTAAGTCTCTGAACGCTATGCAATGGCATAAAATTCTCAGCGTTTTAAAAACAATCTGAACACAGGAATCTTCGATTAAAACTGCTCTTGCACCTATCACATTCTTCTTGCTCTAAAGTCACATGGTGCGTCGCCATTCTCATTGTGCTTCGCGAAGAGTGGTATGTTTAGGATTTGCTTGGCAAGAAGGTTAAGCCCAGTGCTTCAAAGGCCCCTAAAAAACAAAAAAAAAACCTTTTTCTTTTTAAACAAACTGGTTGGGACACGCGTGTCACAAAATAAATTTTACGCGAAAAAATATTTTTGGAGCATTTTGGAGACGGCGAAAAATTTGAAATTCTGCGCGCTAAGTCCATGACGTCACGGAATGGCCATTCGCTCAACGAGATGGTAATTCGCTCTTTCCATCTCAACGTGAAGGCGAAGCCGATCCACCTCTCTTCCACGCGCCCGAAATGCCGAGAGAGAAAAAAAGTTTAAAGGAGGTGACTACCGACTAAATCTCGGCTCTCGCCTGCAATATTCCTCTAAAAAATTTTGTTTTTCGCGTAAAATTAATATTTTGACACACGTGTCCCAACAAGACTGTTAAAAAAAAACGATATGGTTTTCTTTTTTGTGGCCCTTTAAGGTCTCCCACCGGTGGATGGGGGTCTCTGTTGTAGTAACCTGGCGTTCGGATTGGAGAGGGGGGGTGGAGGGTTAGTGGGTCATAATTTGACAAGCAGCTTGCCTTTAAACTAATGACATGCACATGCATCCAAATGCTGACATAGCGGTCAGCTGACAGTGTTGAACTGTACGTCAGAAACACGCCTCAACAATTCAAGTTGTATTCATCGGTCTAGTTTTCAACTTCGCCGCTAGGGAGGCGATGGTTTGATCTACTCCCCAAAGGGGTCTCAGGCCCAACGTAGATATCTCTGCGGGGTGCCTGAGGTCCCCCGAGACCTCGTTGACTTTAAGTACTGATTAACGAGACCAAAACCGCGATGGAGGAGCTGGGGTTCCAAGGTGTTTTCCTTACAGCCCAAACTTCGCGCCATTAGATTTTTTTTTTAAAATAAAGGTAGATTTAGGGAGTGCATGGTTTGCGTGCGACGACGAGGTTGCCGATGCAATGTGCCGTTGGTTTCGTCGGCAACTGACCTCAATCATCCACGACAGCATGCGGAGTGTAGTGCAGCGGTAGAGGAAGTCCATCGCTGCAGACGGGGCCTATTTTGAAAAATTAGGTGCTCCTGGAAAAGAGAAGATTCCAAATTTTCGTTTGAATGTACCATTTTTGAATTCCATCACCGAATAAAGCAGCTGCGGCCTAGGAGGAAAACCTTTTTGATCGGGCTTTGGAAAATATTTGACTTAATTATACAATTTTGCGTTATATTACGCGCAGCACGAGACAGTCTCAACCCAAATCTGATGCCTTAGTTATCACGTACACATTTTTAAGAGCATACTACTTTATTCCTAACAAGTAATTAGTTTCTTTTTTGATCTCTGTTGCAGGGAAATTTCAACTATGACAACATCTTCAGCTTGAAATACCTGAACCAAGTCATTCAGGAATCGTTAAGATTCTATCCCCCCTTGCCAGGGTACTGTGGCTCAAAACAAAATTTTTGTTTTACCAACGCGTTTTATAATATTTTATATTACAAAGTAGTCAGATAGTGATAAGCAATTGTAAAATGAAAACGAATGTGCATTGAAGTGTACTATTGAAGGCTATTCGACACATAAGAAAATGGGACATGCAGGATGGTCCCAAAATACAAGGAAATACAGTATTGAGACGCAAATACTACGCCCGTTTTATCGGGTGCAAAAGGGAGATTCTGATTAGAAGGAGCGAGAAAAAAAATTAAAAGAAGGTACCTTGGTGGATTCTTAGGAGAATGCGTGAGAATGACCCTTGGGAAACGCCACCCTTGTCCCCCTTTGGGAAACATTAATGCTGAGCCCTTTACTTTTCTGTTTTGGGTTTCTCTTTTGCATCCTAAATTTTTTTGCTGCCTCTTTTTGGATTTTTTTATGACGGGGTAACCCTTCTTATACATTTTACAAAAGGCTGTCTGCATGCAGATTCGAACGCGAGTAACCGCGAGATCCGCCCTTAGAATGCGGCATATCAATGAGTTCAGGGAGACAACTTGGCACGCGGAATTCGAACCACGGATGTCGTGGTGACTCGTCTTTGCAGACTGTCTTTTGTATGATGTGTGAGCAGTGTGAACCCGGCTTTACGGGCCAGTGTTAGCGTTTCCCAAAAGAGGACGTGTGGGGCATTTCCCGAGGATCATGCTAATGCCCGTGTCCCACTAGAGCGACAGAGAGAAACAAAAGACTGCGACAAGCCTCAAACCCATGCGGCATGCTCGCGATGGTACCTTTGGCAGGCGTTTAGTCGTTCGGTGCTCGTGAAGTAAGCACGAGCGATTGCAAGCCTACCAAAGGTACCCGCGCGTGCATGATGCTCGAGTCTTAGCATAGCCTCTCTTATTCTGGAAAGCCCCTGAAATCGCGAAAGGCTCTGGTTTGAGGCTTGTTGCTGTCGTTTGTTTTTGTCTGTCGCTCTAGTTGAACGGGGGCATAGCAGATTCTATAAGAATCGTTTGATGGATATTCCTTTAACGTTTTGCCGCCTACTGGGACCAGCGCCAGTACTTGGTTCGCACTCTATTTCAGAGCACGAACCAAGGCATACGCACTCGGCACACCTGCAAGGTTAGACTCGAGCCAGCATCCGCGCGCGCATTAGCTTCCGCCCCGTGGCACCTCTTCCCTATCCCCTTTGTCCTTCACTACTCTCCCTCTCTCTGCTCGGTTTGATTCCTTTTCCACTGTTTTGCCCACGAACGGACGCCGTCAGGTTTTCTCTGTCATCTGGGTACTAATACTAACGCACGATTAAAACTGAAACTTCAAGGGTTTTACTACGTCACGAAATCTTGTCTAAGTACATTATTAGTAATTTCTTTCTGCTTTATGTGCAATCGACAGGCGCTTTCTGGTTAGATGAAACAGAGGTGAACAAATGCAGCGTGAACTTTGATCCAACCGAATAATTATGACACGCAGGCTCGTCAGCAGAAGGTGCCAGAAGGACTTCGAATTCAATGGCCTTCGTATTCCAAAGGGCACGAACATTCAAGTTCCCGCTCGACTAATGCACCACGATCCAAGATATTGGGTCGACCCCGAGAAGTTCAATCCTGACAGGTAAAGGGCCAACGTGCTGCCATCATGGTTGTTGCTTTAAAAGATAATATACGTCTTCGCCCTGATTAATACAATGTTTCCTTAAAAGCCTCGGTAAATTCAATTTTCCCTAAAAAAGGAAACAATAAAACCCAGCAATTTATTCGCCAACAAAGTCTGGAACTGCGCCTACGCAGGCTGCCACAGTCGATTGACGAAAAACCGGCAGCCCAGTGCAGTCGGAAATCACTGACGCACACTCTCAAAAACAAGGGACGCGCGTTGAAAATCGCTTCGATCGATACCGCCGTTGGAAAGGTCTATAGAAACAACACAATGGACCATATGCAAAATAGCAGCTCCCCTAACGGTTCAAGTGCAACCTGAGAGCAGAAGACTATCAACGAATAGTTTCGGTTTCGCCGAGTTATGTACCTGTCATCTGCTGTCGTCTTCGCACCGCAATTGCTCACGTCGTCGTGGATTGGTCCACAGCAGGCTTGTGCTCATTACTTGAAAAATGTATGGATTACAATTACAAATTAACGGGCCTCAAATGTAATGGATTACAGTTACAAATTACGTTTGCTGGAAAGTAACGGAATACTTTACTCATTACGTTACAAATTCCTTTCACGCTACTTTTTCCGTACATTTATCCAGAAAACATTAGAAAGAATTTTTGTATTTTTTTTAATTGTTCTGCAACACTACTTTTCATTTCGCATACGCCCGCATTGTAGTAGTTCTAAAAAAAAAACACAAAGAAACGTTGTATTTAAGAGAAAGAGCGTAGGTGCACTCCGTTAACCTGTGCGTTGACAAGGCACCGAAAGCTGCAACCACACCCGCCATTCCGCTACATTACGGCCTCCAGAAATGTTCCCTAGAATTGTGCAGACAAAGCTAGCGGTTCGCATGCTCGGTACCAGCGTCTACCTCCGCTGCGAGATTCGGAGCTAAAGAAGCGGTCTTGGAAAGCTTTCCTTTTGATTCTGGTGTTTCGCCTGTTATTCACAAGGAAAGAAAAACTTGTTTCTAACGTTACAATGTATAGCCAATGCAGAATGCAGGTGTCCCGGCTTACCTTCATGTGTTTCCGTAGATTAGAGTTTGTTGTTCTTGCTGATGACAATGTGCTTTTTTTGGCAAGCAAAGTATGCACTGAAATTCTAGTTTTACGTTCTCCTTAATGCCCTGAATTTTAAACATCTCATAAAGAGATGGCCATGGAGACGACGGACACTCCATGACCGAAAACTCGACCAGTCAGAGAAAAAGTGGCGGCTACGGGTGATCGATCGTTCATCGGTTCTCACTTTCATGCCGATATTCGTGGAGGCCAGGGGAGGGGAGGGCACAGAGACCGAGAGGAGCGGTAGCCATCGGTTTCACAAATCGATGGAGGATCGCACCACTTTTACGCGTTATCTCTGTCCCTCTCTTTGTCAACACCTCTTAGATGGCATAACCCCCCCCCCCCCTTTATGTTGACAGTTGACTGTAAAATGAGGAGTGGATTCGGCTACGATGCCCAGACAAGTAAACCAAAAGAAGTATCGTCCGTACCACTGAAATCAATGCTCTTTGCCTCGCGCCGGGCGCTTTTCAGCCGTGCTTCAAGTGCGTGCTAGAATACAGTCGTGCACAGCAAAGATAAAGGGAATTCGACACCCTCGCGCGAGGCTACATCATCTGTTACTCGAGTTGGGAACCCGCGAAACGAGGGGGTACGGACTAGAGTTTAATGTCTGTGCAGGTGGCGGGAGACGTTGAAAAAGTTGGAAAGGGTGAAATGGTGTAAAAGCCAAAATCAAATAAACACGAAGAGCTTTCTCCTGCCCGGGAGAAGAAAAACACGATGGAAGGCGACGGATCTGGATCTTTGTCTTTCGTATATTGTACATGCCTTGCCCGTTTTTCTAGAGGTTCTAGTGACCGGTTAAACAAAAAAATCGTGCTTTCTTTTCGGCTATTCTCCCCATCCTGATGTTTTCTATTTTGTTGAACTTGCTCTCTTTATGCTGCTGAATGTTCTGCTTGAATTGTACTAGTTACTGTATTATGCTCATATTAAAAAAATGTTACGAGTAATTAAAGTAATCTGTTACCAATATTTTGTAACGAAATCACATTACAAATTACTTCCGAAAAAAAGTAACGCGGCAATTACAAGATTACTTGAAAAAGTAGTGGATTACTTCCCAAGTCTGGTCCACACTTACGCGCGTTGCGAATAACGAACAAGCGAGACAGAATTTCGTTGTAGCGTTTTCGCTCACTCCCTGTGCCAGAAGCATCGTAATTGTTTCGTTAGTCGCTGTTTCTGATATGTAGCAATGAGAAGAAAAAGGGTACACATGGCATCGCGCGTAAGTGGGGAGCAATCCATGACGACGCGAACAATAGCGGTGCGGAGACGATGGCAGACGACGGATGCAGAACGCGGACAAACCGAAACCGAAACTACCCCTTGACAGTCTTCTGCTACCAGGGTGCACCTGAACCGCTAGGGGAACTGCTACTTTGCATACTGCCCATTGAATGCCCACAAATCAGGTTGTCAAACCAAAATACTGTACTTCTTGCAGCGGTTCTCGTTCCGGTTGAGGAAAAAAAAAAGAATCTTGAAATCCAAAAGACTTAAAAAGAAAAAAAAAACAAAAAAAACGCGGTATATATTGGTTTGAATTGTTTCGTATATCCATGTTGATAAAAAAAATAAGAGCTGTAAAAAATACAGTTTTATTAAAATCTTAAATATGAATAGGGCGACGTTGAAAACTGTTTGTAAAGAACAAGAAACAAAAATACGACAAAAAAATCCTCGGAGAAGAGGAACGAAGGACACAAGTCTCCCAACACAGCTAGGTGACTGGTGCGCGACCAAAAAAATTCGTCTCGTCCAGGTATCGAACCCGGGACCTCTTCATTTCCAGTGAAGCGATTATAATTGCACTATAACCGTAACCTTAAAATCTTTTAACCTTTTTTTCGGTCGCGCACCTGTCACCGAGCTGTGTTTGGAGATTTGTGTTTGTCCTTTGTCCCTCTTGTTCCCCTTCTGCAGGGACAATTTTCGTGATTCCTGTCCAGCTCGCTCACACCTTTGCCCATTTAATTGTACTATAACAATAAAAACATTAAGCCTGTTTTTGCTTATTCTTTAGAGATTGAGACAAAAATGTGAATTTTAGTGGAGAAAGAAATCTTTCGACGCTGACCACGATTGTAAAAGTGTATATAGATACTTGTGTGTCAATGCGGGAAGTTCCGGTAGGCGTCGTTTACACATGTTTAAGCTCATCTTTAAACGATGACCTGATGGGTGAACATTATTATCCTTTCATTCTTGGCGAATTCTAAAAGCTGCAAAAAGTTAACATCACGATCTCCCTAAATCTGAGCGGGCGCATAAATGCTCATCAACAGAAGAAGCTTTGCAGTTACTAAATCGTGTGAGAAGATTCTAAAATACCATTCGGTTTACGGCCATTCAGCTGAGCTCCCAAGGATAACGACGTTACCTAAAAACATAAAAGTTTGAATATATACAAGTACTTTTCGCGACATACTTTCGCGACGAATGCGCCCGAAAGTTTTACTAAGCAAAAAACAGGAAAAGGTATTTTTAATTTTTTTTCTCCGGAACAAAAACAAATCATAATGTTTTGATTTTATTCTTCTTTTGTACGAAGAGATAAAGTTTATATTTCAGGTTTTAAATTTCGGATTTTGGTTCTGGTTCGGTCCGGTGCCCCACCAGAAATCACGATATTTTCCATTCGAGCACAATGTTTATGACCGATCATACGGTCAATTTGTCTTATACCCTTATACCCCCGTTCTACGGGTAATTAAAATGCTCTCTGGACGAACTCGTTTAAAAAATCGGTAAACCAGCGCATGACTATGGGAGCGCACCGAGACAAGATCGCAAGGTGATTCAACGACTTTTGAAAATGGATCGCTCTGTTTTAAAACAAAAAGTGTATTACTCTTTATGTGGCAAAGCTGTCTATTTACCAGCTCTGTTTCAATTACTTCACTTTGTTTTGAAACCAGCCACTACAGGTCTGGAGGTGACAAGTTTTTGCTCCGGAAACCACGCCGAGAGATGGCACACGCAAAAACTGTTTAGCTAGAGTAACTGTATATGCTATTTAGATAGGTGTCGCAAGCCATTTCCAGATCTAATGGAAATAGCCGCAATGCATTCATTCATTCATTATTAACCTGAAGATTTTAGAGTTTTTGCAATCGGGAAAGACTATCTAGTCACAGTTTCTCAACGTCTCGAACACCAAATAAGTTAAATTATTGGCAACATTGGGCACACCTACGGAACAAAAGGGTTTCATACGCGGCAGGATTTCGTCGGAAAAGCTGGCGGCATCTATCGTTCTGGCGTCTCTAATTGTTCCGTCCGGATACCGGATACGAGCCCGGGTACGAGCTCTGCAGGGTTTCCCGCTCATAATAATCCAAATGGCATCTTTCATATCTCTTTAAAAATTTGAATGTCCCTTAAATTAACCCAGCTGTACACCGAATGTCCTTAATTTAATCCAGCTGTACACCTATCTTATAAAAGCGGTCATCAGTTTAATCCAAGCACCAACAAATTTAATCCAAATTGTCACTAATTTAGTCCCAACGCCATTCATTTTGATTCAGGAGTCACTCAATCTGTTCGGTTTATATCCTCGAACTAAAAATGACTCCTGCTTATTTGTTACAACCATTTGAGAGCCCCAAGTTTTCTGCAAGTCATGAGTGACTTCTCACTGCATTCGTCTGGCATGCCTACCTTTTCGTGACCTTAAAGAGATTTCTTAGGCAATCGCACGGAATGTTCAAGACTGCATGAATGCTGTGGATATTTTGACGTATTTTGAAGAGTTGTTAGACTTTAAATTACGCATATAGTATTCAGTTTGATGGTACGGATGGCAAGGCTATTACTGGCGATGATTCTGTCGCCTTATGAGCACCTTAAAATTGAATAAGCATCGACTTACTTTTAAATTTGAAAATAATTGAAGTATTGAATAAATGATCCTAAACGAACATAAGGTGAAGGTTTCAGCTTTCTAAGCGCAGGCGTTTTATAGCCACCCTTATCTGATCATGCTCCCTCACATCAACGGGTCGGAGACACCGGCTTGTCCCAGGCATTTTTTGGAGTACAGGGAGTCTCTGAGAAAGTAGAATCGTGTTTTTCGGTGCTGGTAAACATACAATGGATCGCAAGAGGCTCAAACACCGTGAGAATATAACGCTTTCGAATGGGACAGTTCGCGAAAGGTTTAGAACATGACATTTACCTTGATCAGAAGGTAATTGGGAAAAACGAAATTTCTTTATGAGCCGACGTCCGCCTAAGTCTAATATTGTTAAAAAAAGAAATAACACTGTGGGACCATGTAGCATTTATTCCAGTGCAAAGACCGTCTCAGCAAGAAAACGCATATTGTTTTCTCGCTTACACGTTTATTTTTCGCTGAAATACTGCTGGCGCCCACAGTGTCATTCCTTGTATTGACGATATTAGGCTTAGCTACACGTAGGCTCATAGCACAATTTTGTATTTCTCAATTATATTTTGATCCAGGTGAAGTCATGTTCTCAAACATTGGCGTTCTATCCCAATAGTTAGCGTCAAATTCTCACAAAGTTTGAGCTTTCATCGATGCTTAGCTCATTTACCTGAGCCGAAAAACACGGCTCTCGTTTCTCGGGAACTTACTTTACTTACCATCGCACAGTACATTCCTCATTCCAATTGAAGAAATAATTTTAAAGCTCAAGTCGGGCGTGAAGGAATACCTCAATGAGCGAAGTGCAGACATCTGACGCACGAAATATTGCAGAAAATTGAACACGTTGACTGCGCAGACTTTACGACCGAAGTCATTTTAAGCACAATGTGCGCGCCCTTCAAACTGAGCGCATGTAACTAACATATCCGAGTGCGGAATACACGCGGTCTGAATATAACATCATCTTGTTTTGAAAGAAGGAAAGTTTAAATGTTTATGCTGCTAAGTTGATAAAACAGAACTAAAATAAAGACATAGAAACTAGCGGTTTCACTGTTAAGTCTCTCGAACTTTGGTTAATTGCTAAATAATGCCTATCAGAAGTTAAGCTTTCCTTACTCATACGCTGTGAAAAAAAAATTTTTTTTTTATCCAGGTAAAATGTACAAGGTGACAGAAGCACCGCTAGTCGAGGCTTGAACTTATAAAATTGTAATAACGTCAATATTGCCATCGATTTGGATTGCTTAAATGTATTTGATTGAATTCACAACTTTTAAAAACGGTAAATTTCCGAATCATTTTGAGTCATGTCCGAAAACCTCTTAATAAATTAAAAAAAAGTATGCAACGTGCATATACGATGAGAAATCACTCATGACTTGCAAGCAATTTCAAGCTCTAGAAAGTTGCAAAGGATAAGCATGCGTTCTGTTAATTCATAAATAAAAAAATAATTAAATTACGTGACTTCTGGATTAAACTGAATGGCATCTGGGTTAAACTGGTGACAACTTGAATTTGATTGGTTGGCGCATGGATTGCATATTTGTTCACTCAGATGAAATTGGTGAACACACGGATTAACTTCAGGGACTCTCAAATAAAAAAAAAGCTGGTAGTCAGATTATTATGAGCCGGAAAACCTGTAGTTGGTATCCAGTATTCTTCGTAGCAAAGTATTTGCTTGGGGCCTTAGGCCACTTTCCCTTTAAGCCCAAGCAACCACGTGCATTTATCTTTCGTTTTATTTTTATCACGATGCCATTTCTTCTTGATTTGACTAACAGCGGTTCTTTCACGCAAACACCGTGTATTTTTTTGTTACCAGGTTTAGCCCGGAAAACAAGGCAACGATCGAGCCAATGGCGTACATCCCTTTCGGCATCGGACCTCGGAGCTGCCCAGGGTCCCGGTTAGCCGAGATAGAGCTCCCACTGATTATGGCCAAGGCTGTGGCCAAGTTCAAGTTGCACCTCAGTGACGAACCAGAAAAGGCAAGTCGCTTTGACTCACCATCTTATCGTTGTCTCCCCCCCCCCCCCCCCCCCCCCCCCCCCCCCCCTCGGAGTCGTAGACCCACTGCAGTCACTGACGAGATGAAAACGGCAGGGAGGAGCTTCAGTTGTTCCCGCCTCTAGCGCGAGCTCGTGTAATTCGAGCTTCGACAGCCCTTCGCCGTCTCGTGCACCTCGAGCTCAAACGCGCAGCCAAAGCACGGTAGAAAGCATGCAGCGCGTGCTGGAGACCGTGCTCATGAAATGCAGCCCATATCCCCTTTCCGAGCCTCCACACGTTATTGGTGATTTGTCCATCATGCGCTTCTCGCCTTCTTTGGATCCCAACGACTCTGTGATCTGCGGTCAGGTGACTCATGCAAAGTGACCTGAGCACCTCCTGCGCTTGTTTACCCGGCAAATCCGAACAGGTGAATATATACCCGAAGCAAACGTCCTTCGAACATATGATTGAGGCGTACCTGCGGATAAATCTTCCATAACTTCTGCAGCGCACACTTCGAAGTTTGTACTATGTGTGAGCAATGTGGACACCGGCTTTAAGTTATCGGGTTCTATTCGAGACTCCAACTAACTATAGGTGGCGCCACTCATTTTCCGAGATGGCGGGTTTAGTGAGGGTCAGAGATGCGTGCCGCTGTTGAGTCTGTCTAGTGTGCTGGCTTCACTGAGCGACATAAATTATTTCGGGTAATACGAGGAAGCTAATGTTTTATGCGCGCAGGTCACCTCTTTAACCTGAAAACAAGAACGGTGTTTAGCGTATTAATTACAGAAGGATGCGCGTTTTAATTCTGGAGCGAAACAGAAACTTACCTCTATTTTGGATTTAATTTCTCGACAGAGGTTTTAATTTCGAATTTTTTCATGACTCAAGATGTGTCTCATATCGTAATTATTTACTTAAAAAGTTGTTCGCGGAAACTTTATTTTGTGACATACTGTTCGATCCAGGCTGATATTCGTAATTGTTGTAAAAATCAGTGCTGATATCTGTGCGTTCTCGCTGCCTTTTTCTCGCTCAGATAAGTGTCATGGGAAATAATGACAATTATCTCAGCACAAGAATAAGTGAATAATTCCGATTTTTACAATATGTCCACGAAACGCATAAACTAATAAACGCTGCTCTCACTGCAACAACCCAAGACGGAATCCGAGTCAGACAGCTGAAGTGTGTGTTTGTGTGTTTTTATAGCACCGCGTGACGCGTAGAACTTCATATTACATCCAGCGTTTGACTGTTTCTCTATCTTGATAACTATGTCAGAGTTTTTCATATGCCAAAAAGAAAACAAAATTATACCTTTCTGGAAAGACTATTATGGTTAAAAAGAGCATTCTCGTGATCTTGGCGTTAATTAGAGGAATACATTGCCGCGATTTGTATTAATAATAATAATATTAAAATTCACATATTTGAATAAGTAATTCTTCAAGCTTTAATATAATTTGTTGCTTATGATCTAACTTTAAACGCGCGAAGAAATATGATAATGAAAACTGTGCTAATTATCATCACTGGTTCCAATTGCTTCATTTTAATTACAAATAAAATTTAAAAAAAGTCTAAAATCAATGAAAACATTCTAGCTAATTAAATCCATGTAAAATTACATTAATTGTGGGTAAAGTATATTGTGTTATCAAAGTCGCGACTTTTGACAATCGGCGAAACGTTCAAAGTCGCCGCCAATATACTTCCAGACCAAATACCCAAAAGTTAAAAAAAAGCTTTTTTTGATTACTAGTTTTTTCATAACATTTATTTACTTTTGTATTTACTCGCCGTAGTTTTGCCAATCTCAGCCTTTCCAGTTCGAAGGAACGCCTACCTGCTTGCACATCTGCTCACTGCAGCACGTTTCGTTGGCGTTGGAAGCCGGTAAAACAGTAGTGAGTTTTAATATTGCGTATACGAGCGAACTCAAGCCCTGTGTGTTTGTGTTAGCTTTGCGCGTTCCAAACTGCGCGTTCCACACTGCGCGTGCGCGGAGCCCGAAATCGCGGTCTTGGATGGCGCGTGGCGATGAGGCGCACGCACAACGTGGGGCACGCAACTCTAACGCAAACGCACACCGCTTGCGTTCCCTTCTACGCGCAATACTAAAACTCTCCAGTAAGGTACAATCACATACCGGCTGCAGCACTACGTTGGGACAGTGAAGAGTGTTGTTTGCATTCGGAAACGGCATTTCGCGAGCCATGATCGCGAGCAGTTCCGCCATGCCCACTGAGCAGGAGAATCGGGGGACCCTCACTAGAGCGCTTCCCGTTTCCGCCGCGGGAGGGCGAGCGTCGAGCTGGAGACGCGAATAGGTAGGTTTTGTGTTTTTATAACGCAGTATTCATTGGCCTCTCTTTCAGAGCACCATCAAGTACGTTGCACCAGCGACTCTTGCATTCCCTGATGGGGGAATGTGGTTGAAGATGGAGAAGATATAAAAAGGTCGCCGTAAAGCTCTCACTTAAAAATGAATTGTATAATTGAGATTTAGAAGAAAAGCAAAAAAAAAGAAAAAGACATTCTTGAATGAATGTGCTTGAAATTATTGTTAGCTTGAAACATTTAAATATCCCAGTATGCGAAAAAAATTCGCAAGAAAAGAAATCTGCCCTTGTGATAGTGTGTAAGGAGCGAGTTAACATGCACAGAATTAGTTAATGGCATTTTGTTTGTGCCTTGGCAAAACGCACAGGCAGCAAGAGTGGCTCCGTCGACGGCAGATCTCAGTAAGGCCGACCGGGGTAACTCCGTTTTTCCCTCGTCGGAGACTCCCCGCAGCATCTGCCGAGGTAATTTTGGTCGTCGACCAGCCGACTTCACGAACACCGGCTCATCTTAACCACATAAAAAAAACAGTAGTGTTGCCTTAACTCCTTATATTTTACCTCCATGCATGTTATCTCAGCTCGATATAAACACAGGCAGCGTATTTTTTAATGTGCATTTTTTCATGTTTGCTGTCTCGTTCATGTGCGTTTCCTTTCTCTGTTGAACATTACTTTTTGTCTGGATTTTCTAATGGTACAACCGGGGAGACCGGAAGGTGAAGGGTGGGGAGGCTGTCGCCTTGTCAGGCATGCCTATGCCTTTTGTGACGCCCTCCCCCTCAGACAACTGTGCTACTCGTCGGTTTCCTGAATAAAATATTTGATTTGTACCAAAATGATGTGTTGACCTCGTTGGCCTTGTCCTTTTCTTCAGCGCTTCCTAATTTTCGCAATATTTGATTTCATTCGAAATATTGAATAGCAGACGATGCTTCTTTCTGTCACCGACTTCTCCGTTAGACGCATTTGATCTAGACGCCAAAAAGAGTGACCAGCAAAACACTGTCTCCGCGCATAGAAAGCCGCAGGTCAAATGCTCATCGACAACATGGTGTCCGGCGAGATTTAGAACCGGAGGTACGTCACGTGAAGCCGGCGTGTGCGCAATCCCGGTAACAATACACTTACAAAAAATAAGAAAAAAGGTGTAAGATCTTTTTCAAGGATTTCGTGGCTCTATCAACTTCTACCCACGCCTTTCTACAGTTTTTGTCAACAGTATAAAATACAGCCGCTATTATAAAAGTGTAGGGGTGTGGGGGTATTTGTTTCAATTCCGCTGCGTCATGACTCCACACTGGAAGAAGAAACATAGATCACGACTTCCCCTCGCATATAGTTAAGGGTATGAATGATACACAGCTCGTTTGATAGATTGAAATATAGCTGTCATTTTTAATGCGCTAGCATTAGTACTTACTTGACAGAGAAAAGCTGACGGCGTCCGTCTGTGGACAAAGCAGTGGAAAGGGAACCTCGCCGCGTAAAGAAGAGTAGTGAAGGATAAAGGCGAAAGGGAGGCAACGGTCAGGGGGCGGAAGCCAGTGCGCGCGCGGATGCTGGGGTGAGTCTGAGCTCGCGAATGTGCGGAGCGCGTATGCCTTGGTTTGTGCTACAAAATGGAGTGTGAACCAAGTACTAGCGCTGGTCTAAGTAGGTGGCAAAACAGTTAAAGCAATATTCGTTGGTGGATCCTTAAGGTGCAACCCCACCGTGCATGACGTTTTGGTGCTTTTTTGACGCCTTACAACTTTCTTTCTAAGCATCTTAAAACTATAAAGTTAATGTCAAATTAAAAAAGAGTTTTTCAAAAATAGTTTATTGTCTCGATATTACGAATATTTTAAGTTGTTGTTTAATTATTTAGCTTTTAATAGACCACAGTCTCTAATATTGAAAAAAACTATTTCTCGAGTTATAACGTCCCATCGTCCACGATATTTTGCTTAAGCGTTCAGCTGGATGTAATAAATTAAAAAAAGTACTCAAGAAACTGTACAGATAATTTATATTTTAAAATAAAAAATAAAGTTTAAAATGGCGTTATTTGACGGAGCTATATAAACGGAATCACGTCAACTAACCAAAATAACGAGACATTAAATTATGAAGCATCCTTCGATATTACATTTTCCATAACTTTCATATTGATATATTACACGTTAAAAATGTTATAAGACCTCAAACGTTTCCCATTCAGTTACGGCAAATTGTAGTTTCTTACTATAAAGTTCAGACGGCGACACCTGTTCAAGAACGGCTTGATGTGCATTTTCCGTCTTGTGCCGCTTGGAACGCCACGTGAAAGACAGAAAAAGCGCCAGATGCCAGGGTGTCAGATGCCTGGGTGCCCGCAATGAGCGAGCCAGAGATGTTAGAACAACAAGCGCGAGGCTGCGGGTGCTCAACAGCTACTTTTGCGCGGGTTCTCTTGTGCGTCGATACACATGCCCGACGTGATCTAAATGAAATGGGTGCCATGAAATGCATTCCGTCATTTCATGTTCCGACACGTATGCGAAAACATTTTAATGTTTTTATCACTTGCAAAAATTATTTTCGCAATCAGACTATGCTTGTCGGAATGGTTTGAATATATTTTGTTACAAAAACCACCTCGGTGGCTTTTAAGTGGCAATTATATTAAAACAAAACACAAAACATTAAATCGTCCCAGTGTCTCTGAGCCAACGCGCTGGCCCATGAATCCATATATGTCGGGTTTAAATATTGGCCGAGGTGCCCGCAATCCGACCGAGGCCTATCTGAGATTTCGGTTGCACGTCAAAACATCTCCAGTTAATCAAAATAAACCCGCATTTTTTTTTATTGGGGCGTGTTATGTAATTTTTGTTGGATTGGCTTGTGAAAACCTAAGATTTGAATATTTGCTTGTTTGGAGCGCAGCCAACGCTACGGGCTGATGAGGCTTCTGAAGCAGTGCCAAGAGCGCGAGGTTAAGCTGTTCGTTCGCTTTCTGTCCCTAGGCGGTCGGGCTAAAGTAGAGCCACTAAGTAAGGTAGGCTTTATAAGCATCTTGGTGCTTAAAATGATGGTTGTCAGTTATCTGAAGCCTTTATCTGAAATCACAGGAAACTCTTTTTCGTCCTTCACAAATGTTTAAACATTTCGCGACAAAGCAAAGCAATATTACATGAGCTTCCTGACACCGAAACTAATGCTGAGGAAATCGGGCTTATGAATCATGACGATTGGCAGTTGCGTTTGATTTGTTACTAACACCCAAGATGGCGGCGCCCACCACAATATCGGGAGAAAAATGAAAGCCGTTTACAACTCCCTGTAACCAACACCTCCTAGAAGAGAAAGCCGTAGCGCTCTGCTCGTGACGTCGCGAGGGAAGGCCATCGGGGGCGCGCGGCGAAGCGAAGGCAACGCGCGTGGATCGATCGTCGTAACGTGCTTTTAGTCACAGAAGCGTGTCTTATTAGCTAAATTGAAAGCTGCACATAGCAACGGGTCTCGAAAACAATTCATTACACGGGCAAAATATTACACCGCTAGTTCTAAGTGATCGGTATGAAATGGTACGAGGAAGGCGTAGGAGAGAAAACATTGATTCACGCAATTATTGCTGCAGGAATGCATATTTTACACAGAAATACTTCGACAAACAGGCAAGACACGCAGTGATTGGACACAGCAAAACAGGTCACATTGAAAAATTAGGTAGACTTAGTCAACGCGGACACGGCTAAAGGAATATCGCTTACGATCATGTAAGCGATGTTATCGCGTGCAGTCACTGAATTCTTGCATCATGCCCCGGCCACATGGCAAAAGTAATGTAATTTCGATCGA